TTGCCGGCACGAGTGCTGAGTTGGTGAATGGGACGGACCTATGGGAGTCGCCGTTGGAAGTTCTCAGTCAACAAACAGTGGCCCACACAACCGGGCTTTACCGGACTACGACTCGTGACCAACGCTCGTAGGTCCCTTTATTAGCACCTTCAACCAGCCCAGTCACTTTATCGAGAGTTGAGTACAACACTCCAGATGACCCGTAGTCGAGATCCGCACTTAGGTGAGTCATTGTCAGGTGATTGGTCGAGTCGCGGGTCAGCGCGAGCTAGCTGCACTATTGGGCCAGTTCCCGCTGGACCGCCTGGCGGAGAGAATGATCAACTCGTTACCCTTCATCCACCGGCTCCTGGCCAAGATTCGTCATCTCCGGGCGGCTTTAATGTGGTTGCCCTGGACGACCCACGCTGCGAGTGTCCTGAGTACGCGAATCCTTCTCCCAGGGCCGGCAATGGTGATTCGCCTTCGGGTTCTTCGGGTCCAAGACGTCCTAGTGTCCTCGACCTTTCGCCTCCTGCACATAACAAGAGGGCTTCGACGTCTGGGTCGTGAACTGGTAGCCAGAAACGGAAGGCGTCCGCTGCGCGAGATGCGCCTATGTCCAAGCGTCCAGCCTTGAGTCCGGCTCGGGACTCGGGACGTGAAGTCGACCGTCAACTTCGTCCTCGGGGTTATTCGCCCAGGAATTTGCTGGTGTACTCGCCCAGGAACGTCCCTGATGCTCGGGATCTGGCAGAGACCGGTCGTGCTCTCCCAGCTGGGATGCTCTGGACTGACGTCCGCGAGGATGTCCAACACCTCTTGTTGTCCGGGATGGACTTCAAGTGCACCATGAAATGGGTCTCTGAGAGTCAAGGTATCCATCACCTTGCGCCTCGAGAGTCTATCTGTCGTATGGTAGCCCAAGTGATTCACGCGGGTCAGTTGGATGAGACTCCCTGGTGTCGCTCCGTCCCCCAGGGATTTTACGTCAGCGCAGAGGGAACCCTGCGACTGCGCCAAGCCAACCGGGAGCCGACTCCTCCTTGGCATCCTCTGGGTCGTTGCTTCATCAAGGTCCAGAAACGGAAACTATCGACGTGGGAGACTGAGGCTCTCCAAGCGATACTCCCTGAATCTTCGGACGATGAGACTCTGGATCCATCCTACGAGTTGTCGCAGGCGGAGCTGGACAAGGCCGCACGAGCCGAGGCTGCTGCCAAGAACGACGAGTCGAGCGAAGAGTCCGACGAAGGTGAAAAGGACTCCAAGCCCGCGGCTACAAGTCTGAATCCTGCCAGTCCTCGGGAGTCCAAGGCCGGACGCAAGAGTAACAAGGGTGGTAAACCCAAGAGCCACGGTGCGCCCGCGGAATCCAAGTCCCGAGTCATTACCAGCTCCAAGTCTCAGGCCACATTCCTTCGTCGACCCAAGGTAGAAGTTTCGTCTGAGGGCCCCCGACGTATTCGGTTCAAGTTAGCCATATTAGCTTACGATGACCTTCAAGACAAACACCTGGACACGGTGGAGGCTGCATGTCGGGAGACTCACGTCTCTTATCGCATCTTCGGGATTCTGGTGAAGTTCGATCCCTGACAACAGTCCCTGGGGTATCCTGACTTCGAGCCACACAAGCCCGCTTGAAAACGCGCCCTTGCTTTAGCGCCCTGGTTGAACTCATATAACAATGCTCCACAATTAAGCTGAGCCAGAGGTATCCATTCTGGATCTGTGTATCCTTTCCACTTGATCAAGTATTCACGAGAACGCTTGGAGGTCACCTGAGATCTAGGATCTCTTCGACTTCGTACTCATCCTGGGCAGTGTCTGCCTCCTACTATCCTCGGGTAGCAAGGCTGCGTCAAAATCGTCGTCCTCTGAGACTTGTATCTCTGAGATCGGTCGCTGAGGGAACATAGCTCTCGGTTTGAGGCGACTAATGTGGACCCACGGGTTCACGTGGTAGCCCGTGCCCGGGATCTTGAGCTTGACTCTGAAGTCGTCATGAATTTCGCCGATTCGGAAAGGTCCATGCCACAGGTGAGCTAGCTTGCGACTCAATCCTGTGCGGACTTTGGGAATACACAACCATACAGAATCAACGGCTTCGAAACCTGTTCTCTCCACTTACGAGTCTGTGCGGCAGACCTCGCACGTTTCGCCTCCTTTTGTAAGCGTTCAGCGCACGCAAGGGCATAGCTATAATCCCGTTGCATCTTCCGACGCCACTCCAAAGCCGTTCGTTCTTGGACTGTGGATGGCTTCGGGCCCAGCATTGCGGATATGGTTCCCTGGGCGTCCCAACCATGGACCAGGTAAAACGGGGTATTCAGCCTTGCAGCGTCGAACGAGGTGTTCAGGGCGAACATGAGACATTCGGCATGCTCGTCCCAGTCACTCTGGTCAACTTCAGCGACATTCGCTCTGACGCTTCGCATTACAGTTTGGACTGAGCGTTCCTGTTGTCCATTGGCCTGAAGCCGGTATCCTAACGTCGCACGTTGCTTACTTTTCAGAAGGTCTCTGAATCTAGCGAAGACCTTGCTCATGAAGCGAGGATCCTGGTCATGTCTGATCATTGAACTCGCCCCAAATCTTCTGAATACACACTCTTCGCATGCCTCAGCGACATCTTGGGCTTCGATATTCCGTATGGGTTTACACATGACATATCCTGAGAATTGATCTTGGAACAGCAACAAATATGTATTTCCACGAGCGGCCTTAGGTAGCTCAGTGACGAAATCCATTGAGACCACCTCAAACGGATACCTTGGTTCGATATTGCCAGGTGACGGGCCAAGGATCGGTGGTCGCCCCTTGGCTGACGCACAATCCACACACTCCCTCGCAAACTTCTGCACATCGGTGTACATCCCGATCCAGTAGAACTCTGAACGCAAACGCTCAAACGTCCGGTTGATTCC